CTAATAAACCATGATCGAGCTTGCTTGTGATCATTTTGACGAATACCCACTTCACAAATATGTTCCTGCGCATACTTGTGAATTACAAAGAATTCATTTGTGTCCATCTTTGTCACTCTCAAACACCAACTGCAATTGTTGTCCACACAAATAATTGTGCATGTAGACTTGTTTGATTTTTTTACCTTAAACTCAAAATTATGTTTCATTGCAATTCGGTGCAGAGCTTCTTGCGAATCTCTTTTCGTGTCAAACAATTGATCGACATGTAAATCTTCATCATCGGGAACTACACGCAAACAATTACAAGACCGTGTACTCGGCCCAGCATGTGAACTCCCACCAGACTCATGTCTCTGTTTGGATAAAACAATCAAATCCTGATTTGTAAATAGCCTTTCATCCTCGTTATCTTGAACTTTCTCGTAAATCCTTTGTGTAACGGTGACATCATGGCGAATAGCAACTGTTTCGAAAATAACCACATTATCCTCATGAGCAATCTCAACAGTATCCCAAAAATCATTCTCGTTACGATCCTCTCCGTCGAAAACTTCGTGTTCACCCTCGGAGACATTTTTCTTCAACAAAGTTACGCAAATAGGAGTTGTCTTTTGACCTTGGTTCAATTGAATTACATGCTTTATTTGCACTTCAGAAGTAATTTTCAAAGGTGAAATCGAAATTGTTGAATGCTTTTGAAATAAAAATCCCAATTCCATATCGTACTGAGAGGAAACGACGTTAAGCATATTTTGTATTTCATTGTACATTTCCGTAAATGATGTATTTTTTGTTATCGAAATAGCAACAACCCCTTCTCTTTCACTCGTCCATTTCCATTCCCATTGACCATTTTCTTTCCTTTGAAATTCGTCGAAGTGACAGATTGTGACACATGCTTTTGCCATATCTGCATTACGAATTAAACAATTATCAGCGACATCATAGTAATCATAAAAAACGTACTCAAGCTCGTTGTTTTGGAAGTATTCCATAGTTTTTTACCCTATAGAACATAATCAGTGACAAAAAAAAGAATCAGTACAATCAAAACGAAATTCAACATTTTTTTATGCAATAAGAAGAATTTGAATGAAAATCACAATCTTTTTAGGTGATTTGAAATTCAATACTGCTAAAATAACAAAATATTGTTCAGATTTCCCCGGGGGGAGGGGGGGGGAGAGGAACCATGATCAAATAATATTTATTCGATTTTTCATTTAAGTCTTTTTTAATTAATTATATTAATTGTTTCCATAAATTTAACGAAATATTTTTGTTGAGGTTGATAATTGATAAGTTTATGAAATTTTGAGGTTGAAGTGGATGAAAAATAAAAGAGTTTTTATCGTGTTAGAGTAAACTGATAAAAAGAGTGACTTCGTTTTCAAATCTCAATTGAGAGGTGTTTGGATTTTAATTTGTAACTTAAGGATATTTTGATTTTTTTTAACAAATTTCTATTTTTGTAATTGTATAACTCATTTAAGGGTATTTTTATCTTTTACACAAGAATAGACTTTTGTGGTGAATGTCAAATTTTTTTGTTAAAGTGGAAAATTGGTTGTTTGACATGGCCAAACTTAAAAGTTCCTTGGTTCTATAATCCTATTTTCATTTATTTATCATTTTAGCTCTATTTTCAATTTTTATTTTTTTATTATAGGAAAAATGGTGTTATTACCATTATACCCATTTAAGCAGATTTAGAAAAGGTTTTGCTGTCTATACAAACCTTATTTCGACCACGCACATTTAAGAGGGGTGGTGTAATTTTATTTTTTAAATAATCACCCATCCCCACCCCCTCACCCAATATGTGAGGGGTGTACAACAGGCATTTTCCATCTAAAAATTCCCCACCCTGACTGGCTCCACATTGCCCACCTCCAAGAATTTCACCCTAGAATAGTAAACAAGGCACGATTGAAAAATAAAATTACCATCCAACGTCTCAAAAATTTTCAATGGGACATAATACAGTAAAATCTCTATAAAATAATAATGTTGATATCGAGAAAAAATATTATTTGAGAATGATTATTAATTTATTGATAAATAAATAATCGTTAAACAAATATTTATTACTTTATAGAGAATTTTGTATCTTTATTACTTGTATTACATTTTACATAATACATGTAGAAATTTACAAAACAAAAGATTAATGCACAATGCAGAATGTGCATGGCAAAAGATTAAGGATGAACTTGAATTTGGTTTGGGTGCAAAGAAAAAACAAAAGACTTTATATGCATATTTTGGAAGAAGAGACGAATTGAAAAAAAAAAAGTGTTGTGAAATTAAAAAGTTCGTTAATTTGTATTAATATAAAATTTTTATATTTAAATAGTTATTATTTATATATTCGTTGGGCCTTAAATGATAAAAAAAGGAAAAATATTATCTTGGACATTTAGCAAGATTATTAATTTAGTATAATTTTTCAAGTTGGGATTGAAACATTCTATTATTTAAGCAAAATATTAATTTATCGAACGTTCATTTATTGAGGTTTTACTATAGTAATGATCTCGTTCACCTGTTGTCATATGGTTTAAAATACAATTCAATATTTTCATACATATGTATAATCAATGTCTACGATGGCTCTTTTTTTAGCTAGGTTATTCGACATGATGGTCTCCCAATAAGGAGTCCGGTTGTGGCTCTGCTACTAATTGTAATTATCATTTTGGACAAAACTTATCTTAAAACCAACTTGTAAAGAAAATTCATATGAAAATTAATAGGTGGATATATGAATATATAATTAATTTCTTTTAAATGTATCATTGCAAATAGCAAATTGGTTATTTTCTCTTAAGAAAAAAATGGTTGACGACATCAGCAATTAAATTCCCTCCAAATTATGGATGGATATTGCAGTAATTAGAAAAAATATTGAAGGTGTATTGTAACCTCTGTTGTGGGGGCATGTGACTCTTACAATGTTTAACGAAGAACAATTGTGACTTTGATTCTACATACAACAATTGCGATAAATTCATATGGCATGAGATCATGTGAGATGTGACATGCACTTGTGACTCTGACTACTATTATTTTTATAGAATTGTGACAATTTCATGTATGTGTCGCATGTGGAAATAAATGGTTGTCAATGCGACTATTATGATATTGGAAGGGATTAATAACATATAATTATGCTCATAAAAGTCGCATCACTTCTCTGTTGCAGAGGTGTAATCATAAATTTTGCAACCTCTACATCATAGAAAACGTTTGTATCTACATCATTATGAAATGAATATTCAAATTTTACTATGTGATTTTTATAATCCAAGTTAGGAGTGAGGGCGATCCGATTTGGTCCGATTCCATAGGAAACCGAATACCAATGGAAATTTTAGAAATAAAACCATTGGTTCCGCAGTCAGCTATGGAATCGAATCGGAACCGAACCAATTGGTTCCAATTCGATCCGATCCGATTCTTTTAATTGAAAATGTCAAAATAAAATATTTACTAATAAAAAATCTAAAGATGCTAGCAATGTGATACTTTTAACAAAATATAGAAGAATCGAACATACTATTTAACGATTAAAAAAAAGCTAAGTATACAAATTTAAAAACAATATCAAAATAATATAAGTTACTATCATCAAGTAATCATCAATTTATATAAACTGCATAGTACTTCAATGATTAAACAAACTTCCATCAAAATCAAAATCCTACATTGAATTATACATCTTTTAAAAATTTATTGCAACTTTTAATTTTGTCGGTTATAATTTGTAGAAATCTAAATGAAAAGTTTCGATTGGATCAATAATTATGTAATCAAAGTGAAAATAAAATAAAATTTCCGCATCTTAGAAATGAGATTTTATATTGTAAATAAATTTATTTAGGTATAGATTTACCTAATATTCTAATTTGGCTTGAAAATCAATTAATCAATGAATTATAAGAAGAGAGAAGGAAAGAATTAAAGAGAAGAAGGAAAGTGCTGGAGTCTAAAATTAAGAAGGAACTTGATTATTTTTTATGAAAGTGTTGGAGATTGAGTAATATATTTTACCAAAAATAAAAAATCCTATGAGAACCGTTTGATTCCTGCGGTTCCCATACTAGAATCAAGAATCAGACCGGAATCGATCGATTCTTAATAATTTGTCTCGAAATCAAATTATTTTTTAGAAGATTCGAAATCGAACTGACCGATTCTAAACGGTTCCTGTCGGGTTCCATCGGTTCCGAGAAATAATGCCCACTCCTAATCAATGTATTGCTTTGTGATATGATTAATATTTTGGGAAATACTTTATACCCAATTTAGTCTCAAAAAAATTGATTTTTTGACTGTCATTTCACTATTTCAATCGTAAAGTTTGACTTCTTTTCTCATAGGTGACCCTCATTTTTCTCCTAACGGTCAAAAAATCAATTCTTAAAATCGCTCCCAAACGGGGCCCTAGTGTTAAGCTAATCATTTATTGTTGTTTCTAAACAATCTCAAAATTCCAAAAAAATAAAATAAAAATAATAATAAATAAATAAAATCATTGGTCACACTGTAACACATGCATTTTGGGCCAAAAAATAAAAATAAAAAATCACCGTTCTCATTTTTTCCCAGAATCCATCTAGTATGAATGATCCCAGAAACACATAATTTTCTATTTTTACGACTCAATAATTTTTTGCTTCACAGTAATCCATGCAGATATATATAATTTGCAGAAAATACGTTCATGTGTCATCTTAAATGATTTATAAAATTTAGGTAAGTGACGTGTTTGGTGGCACATATATAGCTACAATTGATTGTTCGTTATTCAGTATGAGTGAGGTGATTTATATGTTTTTTTATTTGACTATATTTTTAATAACATATCTCGAATAAAATTAAAAACAATTTAGTGAAGTAATTCCACAAATCATTTATTACTTGATTGAGGCCCATCTGAAAATGGATCAGAATGGCCTGTTTAAGTCTTAATCATAGAGCGAAGGAGACAAATGGCTAAGCTAAAAATTGCGGCAGAGGCAAAAGGGAACACGTTCACCACTCCCTGGCACCAATTTATCTTGTATGCCAGTGATTTCTATTCAATTTCGTCATCAACAAAGCAGGAAGGTAGTACCGGATTTTTATTACTGTAAAAACCGGCTTTATATGCTGAAATCGCATTCGATCTGATCGTTGTGAACGAGTTAATTTCAACTCAACTCCTTATAATTTGTTTATTTTTTCCGAAATTGATATTTCTTGATGGTAATCTTCTTCCAGCAACAGTGATTTTTTTCGACAACATTTCTCTTGAATTTTCGAGGCTGTTTTTCTCCCTGTCTTTGAATAAAGAACCCAGGTCGCTCAGCCCCAGTCAGGGACCTTAATGTCATATTGCTTTTTTCTTTTCTCCTCAAATCGAAACTTATGAAGGTAAATAAGGGGGATATGTTGTCCAAAATCCGAGTGTTAATTGAAACAAAAAATTCATGGTATTTCGTTGTTGGAAAGTGGACTTAAGGGACAGAGAACAGAAAATGAAGATATACTGATTTATTATTTTTTATTTATTTATTTTGTTCTGTTTAATTTTCTGCAGTGTACTTGTAAGGTTTGAATACGTAGGAAATAAGAAGATGCATCCTCCTCTAACAATCCATAGGCACCCAATGTGTGCTGAAGTAAGTTTCTCCATCTTGGTGTTTCTCTTGTATTTACCTTGAGTTGATTTGTTAATGCATTGAGGTGCTTAAAATTGATTACATCTTCCCTATGAATTATTGGCTACATTTCTGCAACTTTAGCCAGATATTACATGAATTTACATTGATAGAGAATGTGCGAGCATGTTTGATTTTCTTCAATTTTCATCATCAGTAGAGCAATGTAGATTTTCTTGAGATTTTACGAAGTGTGTATTTGCATTCGTGGCGTCAAACAATGTCCATTTCTGTTGCTGTTTCGTTATGCGATTTTTATGATGCAAGAAAAACACATTTTCTCTATACTGAACATGTTTGAGGAGCTGTATTCTTATTACCCAGTTTGATATCAGTTTGTTCAGTGGCTTTGTGAGGAAAGAGCTACACCTCTATCGTCTAGCACTTTGGCATTATATGTACGAGCCGTTGCTTTTATACATATCCACAACCTTACAAAATTTTACTTTTTTCTTGTATGTTGGTACTTGGTACACAGCACTAAATAGGATTGGACAGCATAATTGCATGATTTTAAATTCTCTTTTTTTCACAATACTGTCTTAATCAATCCTCCTACCAAACATGCCATTATGTTTGATGATATAAGGCGGTTGGATTCTTCTCCTCCCAGTGTAGGATGGCAAGAATGATTTCGAACCTTTTTTACCTTTTCTCTTTGTTTAGCACGGTGGTAAGCCTGCACGCCTTTTAATTATATGTGATGCTCGGTGCAGATTATTGAACTGTTCCAAAAGTGCCATACGGAGCATCCTATTGGTAAATTTTTTGGTGACTGCACTGATCTGAAAATAAAGCTTGATAAGTGTTTCCGCCAGGAGGTAAGTTTCATAGTCAAGATATTTGTTCACTTCAAATTTGGTTTAACCATCTGATAAATATTATGAAGAAATTGCCATCCCAATCCACCATGACGAAAAAAATTCCTTGTGCAGAAAGCTGTGAAGCGGAAGGCAAATTTTGAAGAGAGCAAAAAGTTGAAAGAGAGGTTACAAGCATACAGGAAGGAAAATGCTGAGAATAGAACTGAAAACAATTTTGTGCAAGCATAATGTGGAATCCAAATATGGATATGCCAGTGTAAAGTTGACGAGCAGAAGAAGTTATTAAGTATGGGTAGAAAAAGATGCGTCGAACAGGTTGCAGTTTAAAATGAAGATATTCTTGAATACCAATTGTAACATGTTCCTTATGGAGCTTTAGTATTGGAGAAACTTTATGCAGTGTTAAACTTGATGAGAGTATTATTAAAATTTCTTTGGCCATTGAAGGCTAGAAAACTATCTTTTCCTCAGATATTTTATGGAAGACGATGT